ACAGAAATTAGCTCATTAGAAATGTCTAGGACACGTTCTGTGGTGACGAAATGTCACAGAAACGGCTCCCGTTGTTTTAATTCCCCGTTTCCGGCGTGTTCATCGCCTCAACGGAGGTAACATTAAATAGTTTAGCTTCCTTTAGTAAATGTTGACTGTCTTTAACTCTATTTACTTATCCTGTGTTAATTGATGTTAACTAACCCCCACCAACCCCATTTCTCCCCCTCCCCCCCCAAAAAAAAAACCCCACACACATTCAACATCTTCACTACAATCTCAAACCAAATCTGCATCCCACGCCCTAACACGAACAAACACCTGCACCACAAACACCAACACCTGCACCACAAACACCAACACCTGCACCACAAACACCAAAACGTGCTCCACAAACACTAACACGTGCACCACCCACACAGTCCTTCTTTGCAGAGCGGTGCTTCCAGCTGTTTGACAAAGACCATGACGGGGAGGTCAATCTCCAGGACGTCACCAAGGAGATCAGAGACCTCGTGGCGGCCTCGCAGGAGGAGAAGCTGCGGTTTCTGTTCAACGTTTACAATATACGAGGTGTGTCTATAGTCTAGGTATACAATATACGAGGTGTGTCTATAGTCTAGTTATACAAAATACGAGGTGTGTCTATAGTCTAGGTATACAATATACGAGGTGTGTCTATAGTCTAGTTATACAAAATACGAGGTGTGTCTATAATCTAGGTATACAATATACAAGGTGTGTCTATAGTCTAGTTATACAAAATACGAGGTGTGTCTATAATCTAGGTATACAATATACGAGGTGTGTCTATAGTCTAGTTATACAAAATACGAGGTGTGTCTATAGTCTAGGTATACAATATACGAGGTGTGTCTATAGTCTAGTTATACAAAATACGAGGTGTGTCTATAATCTAGGTATACAATATACGAGGTGTGTCTATAGTCTAGTTATACAAAATACGAGGTGTGTCTATAATCTAGGTATACAATATACGAGGTGTGTCTATAGTCTAGTTATACAATATACGAGGTGTGTCTATAGTCTAGTTATACAAAATACGAGGTGTGTCTATAATCTAGGTATACAATATACGAGGTGTGTCTATAGTCTAGTTATACAAAATACGAGGTGTGTCTATAATCTATGTATACAATATACAAGGTGTGTCTATAGTCTAGTTATACAAAATACGAGGTGTGTCTATAATCTAGGTATACAATATACGAGGTGTGTCTATAATCTAGTTATACAAAATACGAGGTGTGTCTATAATCTAGGTAAACATAGTTTATGTAAGTCTATAATCTAGGTTTACAATATACTAGGTGTGTCTATTGTCTAGGTATACAATATACTAGGTGTGTCTATTGTCTAGGTATACAATATACGAAGTATGCCTATAATCTAGGTTTACGATATACGATGTGTTTTTTTTTATAATCCAGGTATACAGTATACGCGGTGTATCTATAATTCTAGTTTTACGATATGCGAGGTGTTTCTATTATCTATGTATACAATATGCGAGGTGTGTCTATAATCTAGGTATACAATATACGAGGTGTGTCGGTAAACTAGGTAAACAATATTTGATGTAGGTCTAATATCAAGGTTTACAATATACGAGGTGTGTCTATTTTCCATGTATAAAATATACGAGATATGTCTACAATCGAGATTTACGATATACGATGTTTTTTTTGTATAATCTGTGTACACAATTTTGCGAGAAAACCCTGCTCTAAGGGATGTGTTTGTATGTTCCAATATCACGCACTTATTCTTTAACCTATCTAGCAGCTAATTTTGCAACCTTGTTGTTACAGGGACTGGTAAGCTCGTTAAGAAGGAAATTGTTCAGGTCCTCCAGGCTTGTATAAAAGACAGTAAATTGACGATATCGGAGGAAAACATCGGGGTGAGTTCATTGGTACATTTGTTTTTTCTACGTCACACAGATTGTAACACAAGCAAGTATAAATCCACTGTACAATGGTACAGGTTTATGTATTGTTCTATATTAGCCACCCAAGCACTTCCTTATGTTTTCAAAATCCCTTGTCGAATAGTATAAGTTAATGTGATGTTTTTTATTCACCGCGCAGGCCCTGGCTGATGTTATCACAATCCGTTGTACAAGTTAATGTCATAGTTTATATTCAACACGCAGGCCCTGGCGGATGTGATCACAATCCGTTGTACAAGTTATTGTCATAGTTTATATTCAACACGCAGGCCCTGGCGGATGTGATCACAATCCGTTGTACAAGTTATTGTCATAGTTTATATTCAACACGCAGGCCCTGGCGGATGCTCTCATCACGGCTGCAGACAAAAACAAAGACAACAAAATCTCATTCGAAGAGTTCAAAATGTTGGTGGACAAAAACCCGCAGGTGGCCAACAATTTGGCCGTGAGGTGGGTCTTCACTGTGTCTTTGTTTTGTATTAATTTTATTAGCCAACAAAAACATGCGTGGAGCTACAACGAATTTGAAGTATTATAAATATGTATAGTTATAGTATATAGTTAGGTTTTATAAACTAACTTTTTAAAATGTAATTAATAATGTATTTAATGATGTATCCTGTCAATAAGAAATATTCTTAATGTTCTATTTAATAACTTATGATATTAGATGTTTACAGTAGGTCGTCGCCGACGCTATGTTTCATTGCTTAATATTAATTTTATTAACAAACAATATTATGCGTTTTTTCAACAACGAATTCGACATATATATATATAAATATATATNATATATATATATATATATATATATATATATATATATATATATATATATTCATATTATTTATAAACTAATTTTTTTATATTTAATTCGAGTAATGATACATCCGTCAATGAGAAATGTACATTATGTCCCATAGAATAACTTAAAATTTTCGACTTTTACAGTAGGGATACGAAGAGTTTTATGTAAATGATTTCCCTGACAATGAACGTGTCTGTAAAATACACGCCTTTACCCAGCTCAGTTCATTCATAACTCTACCTACAACCCATTACAACACAAACATAGTTTAGGACCCCCACCCCACCCCCCTTTTCCTTGCCCTTAGACGATAAACCTATTTTACACTAAGTATAATCCCATTACAACTTTAGCCCATCTTGCATAACCTAACCCCCTCCCCTTTCAATTCACCGTAATTTCACAATTTCTCCATTCCCTTACAGCACGCTGATGTCACAAAAACATGGTGGCATCGAGTACGATTTGGATTAGTGAGTACTTCACATATTCACTTTTTGTTTTCTGTTGGCATTTCTTTTTTTTCGTGGGGAGGGAATTTTCAATATCTCATTCCTAATTCGGACAGTGATAACTCTCTCTCTCTCTCTCTCTATCTATCTCTCTCTTTCTCTCTCTCTCTCTCTCTTTCTCTCTCTCTCTCTCTCTCTCTCTCTCTCTCTCTCTCTCTCTCTCTTCTCTCTCTCTCTTCTTTTCTCCTAGATCTCTCTTCTTTTTTTTATAACTCTCTCTCTCTCTCTCTCTATCTATCTCTCTCTTTCTCTCTCTCTCTCTCTCTTTCTCTCTCTCTCTCTCTCTCTCTCTCTCTCTCTCTCTCTCTCTCTCTCTTCTCTCTCTCTTCTTTTCTCCAAGAGTTCTCATCTTGGTTTGACTGCCCTCGTAATGTTCCATAAAGAATAGAAGGAAAGATTCGAAAATTAAAGCAACTTATTACGTGGTTTCCTGCATTGAGTAAGACCATCTGTGTCCCCCCTGGCAGTCAATAACACTGACTGGAATCTTCAACGTGGCTCAGATATCAACCCCGCGGATTCCATTTTGTTTTTTAAAAAAAAAAAATTATTGGACCGGAATATGACTCTAAAACTGAGAGATATTTGAACGTATAATTGTGCTAAATTGTACTCGATTCGCGATCTGAAACGGATCATGTTCTCGCCGAGACACTGTCATTTCAATGGGCGTTGCGGGCTGCCTCTAGCACTAGGTTGCCTGGGTGGTTGTGGCTTGGGGCAAAACATTCCCGTCAAATACACTCTTCAACAGAGTTTTTTTTTTTAATCATTTGCTAATGGATCAAGTGAACGTCTCACCTCCAATCGGCTACACGTGTGTCTATGACTCCCTAACTTCATATATGGGGGAAACGTCTTTTTCGCTAGACTTGGGCCACGCAATAGTTCTAGACTTTCAGGCAACGCCGTCGCTCCAGAATCCCGTGAAGGAAACTACGAAACAAGTTGTAATCACATCGATGCTTGAAGTGAAAAGTCTGGATAATCGTAGGTGAACGTTTCGGCGAAACGCCTTCTTCCGCGGACAAGACACGGCAAGAACTGTCAGCGAGGGGCTCTCTCTCTATACCTTTGGGGGGAAATGATAGAAACGGACATGCTTTGTATTAGCGACGGAAGTTAAGTTGTTCACCTGCGGTTGTCCTGTCATTTCATTTCAAGTCTTAAGATAACTTGTTCCACTGTTTCCTTCACGTGGCTTGAACTCAGTCATTCGTATAGTATCCAGAATCCTGTTAACGGAAAATACTTGGCAGAAGTCAGTTCAATGAAGATTTATAATTACATCATATTTCAGCTACCTTAAACAACCTTAACCTCTGTACTTCTATTATTCTACTATCTGCTCTTCCTATCTTTCCTGTACTCAAAATTCTTTCACTACGTACCGGAGCTCCGTAATTTACGGACATTCCCTATAAAATTTTGACCCAAATGACTTGTCCGCAAAGTCCGTTATATCTTTAGGATTTGCGTTAAAAAAACAACAACTTGGAAGCGAAACCATACGTAAATTCTGTTTGTTTCCAGTACGCATGAATGATTATTCTAAGATTTTTAAAATGATCATGTTTAAGGAAATCATAAAATAATGCTGTAATGATCATATGATAAACTTCATACAGACCTGAATTATTCATATAATGAATTTTAATATCCTGTATTGTCATTTTATCCTCTGTGAAGTTCCCAGAAGGCCCAGAAGAAAAACGCAGGCTGCTGTCGTCATTTCACCTTGACCTACATGCAAAACAACAGGGCGAAAATCTTATTTTTCTTCATTTATTTACTGATCAACATCGGCCTAGGGGCCTTTAACGCTTGGAGCTACTGGGGCTCAAACTACTGGTTAATAGTATGTATAAACGTATAATAAAATATAGCATTTGATTTGAATGTATGTATTTACACATAATATCAATATGTGGGTAAAAACAAGTATGAAAGCATGCTAATTAAATTGCATGCTTAAGGGGAGCTCTCAAACCTTGAGATTTTGAGTTAAACCATAGTCCCTATGTAGACTTTAGAGAAAATGAAAACCATTGCTATAGATTTAAGCTATATTGAATTTAGTTAGCTTTAGTTGTTCTTAGTGATAAAATGACATACAACTTTTTTTTTTAAATGTTAAACTTTATTTCAATGTTTGAGAGACTTTCACATTTTCCCTACCCCCACCCCCACCCTTTTCCTTTCCAACGCCCCGCAATCAAACCTGAACCCCATAGACCGCTCGGACATTCGGTCTGCCCCTGGATTTCAACTGTACGTTTATCGTTGTGCTCATGTTGAGGCGAGTCATCACCTACATTCGGGCTACGCCTCTGGTCAGGGTGCTACCTCTTGACCAGCACATCATGTTTCACAAGCTGTGCGGCTACATGATAACACTGCAGAGCATCGGCCATACGGTAGCCCACGTCGGGAATGCCAGTAAGTAGGTGTAGCATCATTTCTAACACTCCACATGATACATAATAGCACACTTTGGGATAGCCAGTAAGTAGATGTAGCATCATTCTAGCATTCCACGCATTAGCCCACGTTGGGATAGCCAGTAAGTAGGTGTAGCATCATTCTAGCACTCCACACGGTAGCCCACGTCGGGAATGCCAGTAAGTAGGTGTAGCATCATTCTAGCGCTCCACGCGGTAGCCCACGTTTATACTAATAAAACATGTAAAAATCAAGATATTATTAATTATCTATAGATAAAAGCCAAGAATGATAGTATGTTTTCTCCTTACTTGTCAATGAATGCCCAAAATGTACCTTTCCAGTTGTTAACACGGTTAGAAATGGTTGCACATGCCTTGTTTTCAATCTTAACTTTTTTTTTAACATTTGAGCTGAAATTTAATAAATATATTTATTTTGAATGTCACAGTGAAGTAACAGCTGTTTTGTATACTTGAAATTCATCACCAATACTTGTTATTAAACTCAGCGTATTGGCCTTTTTGTGAAGGAATACATATCTATGTAATACAACGTGAGCAACGAAAACACCATTCCATTGAACCCGCTGTCATTGCCGGGCATCACCAAAGAGACGTCGAACGTTGCATCAGTGCGGTATCGGTGATATACAAATATCGAGTGCTCCGGCTTTTCTCGGCCAATGGAAACTGGAAAGTGTGTGCCAAATGACAAAAATCGATTTTTTTAAGAAGGATAAGTTTGAGCGTTGACAACGTAGATTGTGGGTGCTAGTTACAGACCTGTTTACCCCTACGACTTCGCCGTAGAAAACTCGTGTTTTTTTTGTTTTTTTTTTAAGCCTAAGACTAGGACACTAAGACGAGTCTAAAACCAGGGCCGGCCTTAGGCCACTGCAACCTATGCGGCCGCAGTGGGCCCTGCACTTTCATAGGCCCCGCGCTAATTCCAGGTATAAATTATTAAATTAAACCATTAAAACTTAAATCGTGTTTAGGCCCCGCGCAATACGTTTCGCATAGGGCCCCGCAATTTTTAGGGCCGGCCCTGCCTAAAACAAGCTACGGTTTCGGGAGTTTTCTTCATTTCTTTTGGCTTTTTTTTTAAATTGAAAATAAAGAATTGGGGTGTTTTAAATAAAAATTCACCGCACTTTTTTGTGTTAATCCCGTCAGCCATCGAACGAGATCGGCATCCATCAACGCATCGGAGAACCACAGCTTTCATATTTTCTTTATGTTAACTTGTATAAGTAGCTAGGCAGCTGAGTGGATTACCTGATACGACTTGTGTTTTGATCGTAACTAAACCACCACCACCCACCCACCCGCCACCCCCAGACCCGCCTCAACACCCCAAATTGACAAAAGCACTCTTTGGAGCTTGTAACTACATTGTTTTTTTTTAAGAGTTGAAAACTACTCTGACACTAACACTGGGGTAAACAGGATCTGTATCAATGTCATTTTTTTTTTTGTAACATTATGTAGCCGAATATACTTGGATGGTGTTTGTTTTGTTTTTTTTGTGAAGTGTTGGTGGCGGAAGCGAAAGAAATGGCCCTCTGGGAAGTCATATTCACACACAAAGCTGGTATTGGATGGATAGCTGGACTGGCTCCTATAACAGGTAAAAGAAGATAGAGCAAAAAAAAATAATAATAATAATAAAAAAAGAAAATAAATAAAGGATTTAAATTGGTTTATTTAAGGGATACTTTAGATATTTTGTGACTAGCATCAGAAACATTGAATGCATACCAAAATTATTATTTTGTTTTTAATGTTGTTCGAACTTAGTAACTCGTGGCATTGCGATGTGCATTTATTTATTTATTTTTATTAAAAAAAATTTTTTACTTTTTGAAAACAAATGCAAGTCGCTCATTGTGAATTTCGATCACACATTGTGTTATATTCTTTTGGTATAGCTATTTCCCGGCTACCCTCAAAGCTAATCTACTTTTATTATAATAAATTGCTGCATCCCTTTGAACAAACAACGTTGTGGGGCATAATGCAATTCTTTCTGAAAAGGCTTATCCTCCCCTTTTTAACTGTTTCTCAAATGCCTGATTCCCCTTCTCGTCTTCTTACCCCCCCCCCCAACGTTAACCCTCCACGCCCCAGGTGTCGTGCTGTGTGTCGTGCTTCTCATCATGGTGCCCCTCTCCCTCCCCTTCATCAGACGGAAAGGATGCTTTGAGGTGAGTGACGTCATCGCCTGTCACGTGATAATATACTTAATTAAAATAGATCGAAAACATTAATAATAACACCTTTTTTTAAAATCTATACGTTCCCCGACTACGATATACGCTGCGGCTCTGTACAGTGTCTGGAATCGATTACGCATTCCATTTAAACGATAATAAAAATAATAATATAACAGTAAAATATATATACCCTCCCTTCTTTCCAGTCCTTACTGCAGGGGAGTTTAAATTGGGGGAGGAGCAGGGGTGTAGAATAAAATATCCGCTCAAGATTCCAACTTAAAGATCCAAAATCAATTTAAAATAGACTGTGATTATTTTTTTTATTTTTTTTTTTTGGAGGGGGGGATGTGTTTAGGTGTAATGTCGCGTAGCATACAGACGTCAACATTCTTAATGTAATGGGGCTTTTGTCGATGCGTAAACAACATGCTTATCTGCCTAAGTTTAGGTCTCGGTTTAGGCCTTAGCTTAGACCTTGTTTAAGGCCTTTTTAGCCCTTAGTTTATCTTTTTGTTTAGGCCTTGGTTTAGGGCTTACTTCATGTTACCGTTTTACTTGTGCTGTTTAAGTATTTATAACCATGAAAGATCCCTTTCTATAAACAGCTGGCTCTTATATTTAATTAAGTTATCAACATAAAACATAGTTAAGGATAGAGGGCACAAGAGCCCCACAACGGTCTATCTTTAGGCCTGTGTACTACTGCTGATATGCATGTGTACTAAACGCGTTTCATGTGCTGGCAGATATTCTACTGGAGTCACAAGTTGTACCTGATCTTCTGGATCCTGCTGATCATCCACGCCAAGAACTTCTGGAAGTGGTTTGTCGTGCCCGGCCTGGTGTTCATCGTCGAGTCTATCACACGGATGCAGTGGGTCAGGCTGGCCTACATGGGCCGGACGTACATACAGAGTGCCTGCCTGCTCCCGTCTGAGGTGAGACATGTGGGAAAGTATCCTTATTTGTAAGGCAGTGTGTGCATCTCCCATAGTTAGTCTAACATAATTATTTCTAGTCTAGAATACTCTGTCTGACGTAGCGTATCTAACATAGAGTGTATAAAATACTTTGTCCAGCATAATGTTTCTAACACACGTCTAGCTTAGTGAGTCGCACATCTTCTTCAGTGTGCTGTAAGGTGCGCACCACTAAAGCTGTTGGTCCATCGGATTGTGTTTGAATAGCAAAAACAAGCAGTGATCAATAGCATGATTGATGTATTTCACGAATGACCAAAATGCAGAAATGACCAATCGAACGAATAATCAATTGGACCAATGATAAATGCACCAAAGGCCCATTTTCACGATTGGTCAGGGCACGAGTGGCCAGCTTCTCGAATAATCACTTACACGGTTCACCAACTATGCCGCTAACCAATGAGCTTTATAATCCCTCTAGGTCACCCACCTCGTTATATCACGGCCAAACGGGTTTAACTTCAAGGCCGGCGACTACGTGTTCATTCAGATACCGGTCATTGCTAAGTACGAGTGGCATCCTTTCACCATCAGCTCAGCTCCAGAACAAACAGGTTTTTATCCAAACACCCGCCAATCCATCTGTCCATCAATCTGCTTGTCCTTATCTATCCGGCTGTCTAACCTCTATTATATGCCTCGTCTTTTCGTCAATCATTCATCAGCCTATCTGTGTAACTAAGTATATATCAACATATCTATATTCATCTATATGTATCTTTGCAACCATCCTATCGGTCATAATTTGATCTACATAGACTAGACCCTCTCGTCATGTGTAGCAATCTATTAGCTTAGTTCATCCTTCGCTCTGTCTTACCATATTTATTCATCTTTTCTACATGTGTACACAAAATGCACATTGCCAGACAAAAATGTACATATCAACTTTCCTTCCTTAAGAAAACATGCTCAAAAACTCTACCACTGTTAAAACAAACAGCGTCACTGGTGTATAAAAGGTATCACTAGCAAACAAACTGCATCACTAGCAAACAAACTGCATCAGTGATATACAATCATCTGCATTGCGTCAATGTTTGCAGACTCCATCTGGCTTCACATACGGACAGCGGGCTACTGGACCAAGTCTCTACACGACTACTTCATCAACTACGCGAGCGAGGAACCGGAATCCGAGGAAGGAAGTGAGTGCCGTTAAAGTCCACACATTATTGGTACACACGTACTTGAAACACGGTCTTGTAAATACACACTTTAGTGTGCATCTACAGCGTTTACATTTAAAGCTGTGGTTATTTATTTTGTACAAAATGTTTGTGAATCTAAAAGTTGTTTGTATTTTTTTTTTTTGCCAAATGTGGTCCACGGTTGAACATCGTTGCGCCTGTTTGTATTCAGTTACTCCTGCCCCCCCCCCCCCACACACACACTCGTGTCCTCTCCTACACAAGTTTCCCGGGGGGGGGGAGAGTGGCACAAGATTCCCGGGGGGGGGGGGGGGGGGTGATAGTGTGTACGGTCCTGTCACTTTTATGAGTCACACACACTCGTGTCCTCTCCTACACAAGTTTCCCGGGGGGGGGGAGAGTGGCACAAGATTCCCGGGGATGGGATGGGAGGTTGATAGTGTGTACGGTCCTGTCACTTTTATGAGGAGGCAAAGCCGATCCACTGCGGGGTTCAAGGAAAGTGGGTCAAGCCAAGTGGTCAAGCTAAGTGGGTCAAGCCAAGTGGGTCAAGCCAAGTGGGTCAAGCCAAGTTGTCAAGCCGAGTGGGTCAAGGCAAGTGGGTCAAGCCAAGTGGGTCAAGCCAAGTGGTCAAGCCAAGTTGTCTCATGTTATTAGATGGTATACTATCTTTGACGTTTCGTGTATGGACCATACCATGTTGGCTTGTGGCTGGTCTGACAAAAAAAAAAAAAATTCTGTCTTAAAAATTGTGTTTCAACATTTAATAGACAGTGAAAAGAAAAATTGTTTCATCTTGTATTCCATGTACATCTACAACAAAATGTAACTTTAAACAATCACAAGGTCCTGAACAATTCGGTAAGTGGAGTTCTGTTACTGCTATACCGTTGTCAAGGTTTTGCTCTCGACACAAAATTTAGATCTTGTTCAAATGGTTATACGTTTATCATTACGTTTGTATGTCCGCATATTATGTTTTTTATTTATATTTTATCTATTTTATTTCTTTGCTCTTTAAGTTAGTTTTTTTTCTCCTCTGACTCGGAGTCAGTTGACTCTATTTTTTTTTGGTTGAGAGAGCCTGTGTCTCTTTTATTCGACTCTTTATTTTAGCTCTTATTTTATTTTTAACTTCTCATCATTTGTTTTTTCCTTGAAGAAGACTTTTGGCCGAAGCGCTAGTTGTTTTCTGGTATCGTTTGTAAAGCATTAACTTAGCTGATGTTTCTTATGTCAATATTTTATAACATTTTCACGGTCTTCATTATGTTAAGCTTCATATATGCGTACAGTTTATCCCTTGACTATGAGCTATCAAAAGATTTTAGAATTTTTTTTAAACTAAGGTCGTCAAAAATGTATTATAATTTTTTATTTTTTTTTTAAATACATTTTAATATCGAAATGATTTTTTTTTTCAGTCTTAATTGCTAGAAATAGCCAGCCAAACAATGGCGGCGGCAGAAGTACGCGAATTTTCCCTTTCTTGACGAAATGTGAATTCAAGAAACGCCCTTTTTCATACGTAACCCAATTTAGTGCTAACTTCTGGGAATTTTATTTTACGCGCCTATTGAAAGCATCGTTACAGCCATACATGGCTCGACGATTATTATGTGTGATTGTTGTCATTTTTAAAGTTATCAACGGTATTCTTAGCTAGGTTCTATGTATCTATTCTATGTGACATGAGTAAAGTGCCCCGTATTTTCTGAATATTCGGCTATTTTTTTCCAATCCTTTATATTAACTTCGCTTTTGGTCGTGTGTTACTTTCTTTCTGTCTGTTGACCCATTTCCCGTTAAACTATCGAGCTGAAACATGGCACGTAGACTCGTTGTCAATGACAAAGCATTCTATTACAATTTCAGCCTACCCTCCCCCGAACCCCCCAAAATCGGTTTTTCCTGTTTTTCAAGGGGACGATGGAGGGAAAATGATTCCACCGATTTCGCGAAATAGAAATAAAATTTACGATAACTGCGCTGAATAATAATACAAAATAAAATAGTAAACGATGCATATAAAGCAGGTCTGCACAACTCAAAATGTAAGGCGGGCCGTAATACATTATAAAAATTTGTGCGGGCCGAAAGAAAATAGGACAGGAGTTGAGCGGGCCAAAAGAGTATAGTTCAGGGGGAAAGCTATTAAGAAAATAATAAGAATAAAGAGTTTTTCGCTACCTAGCCGGCCACAAAAGTGGGTGCTGGCGGGCCACATGCGGCCCGCGGGCCGTATGTTGGGCAGGCCTGATATAAGGGATTTTAACGAAAAACTTTGTTTTGGGCGGTTGTTTACTTATGTATGATCTTTTGCATGTGTGACGTCAGATGAAAACGTGGACGTACCGAGAAAGACCAGCCTGGTCCGTCGTGAGTCATCGCTGGCCTGGCAGAAACAGAAGCCGCTCACAGCTCGGATAATAGAGTCGAGAATCAGGCAGCGGGTCATCACCAAGTGTGCGCGGGTACAGGTCAGTGCATATTGGTACCATGTGGTGCATCGTGGGGTCGCGCGGTGCAGGCATGCGAAGGGCATTTTGGTTGCATCGTGGAGAATCTATGTGGAATGTGATCATTTTATAGTACCGTTGTTAGTTGTTAGTGCTTTGTGGTACATTCTAGAACACTGTGATAGTGTGTAATAATGTATGCTGCCATGTTGTGTTCAATACATCATATATTGGTACTTGAAGAAGTAATTGCCTGTATTATTTAGTTACTTCTCACACGACCAAATTTAACATAACAGTATCTACGTATTAACTATTTTAAGCCTAACCCTAATTCACTGTACTAAGCGACAATTGGTGTTAAAAACATCCTGGAGAAAACCCGCTGCCAAAAGAAACACAAAACACATACACACACATGAAAGGATTTTCTAAAACTAAGGAAACGATTGCAGCTAGGGGAAGTCCCAGATAGGAAAACTAACTCCCGTTTTCTTTCTGATGTCCGTTAAAGTGAATCATTTCATCTAATGCTATGTATTTTGTTTGTTTTGTGTGTGTGTGTGTGTGGTTTTTTTTATGCATTCTTTTTACAAAAACTAACTTTGGCTTCATAAATCATGAGAATAGAAAATAAGTCATACAAATTTTAATTTTCCTTTCGATTATATTAGAGTTTTTTTTTCTTTTTTATAAACCAAATAAGATCTGAACTAAAATGTAAGGCATTCATCGTACACCTGTGTAGAATGGGCAATGCTACTCTTCATTTGTTACATTCGCTTATTTCTCTTTTTAAAAAAAAAATATAAAAAAATAAATAACATTAATTTTTTCTTAAAGATATTTGTAAATGTTGGCTAGTAAACAAATCGGGCGCCATCTTTACCCCACTCCTTGCCTTTAACTCAGTGTCACATAGACGGGCCCTACGGTACCCCGAGTCGCCACATCTTCCAGGCCGAGCACGCTGTGCTGATTGGCTCCGGCATCGGGATCACGCCCTTCGCGTCCATCCTGCAGTCCATCGTGTCCAGGGTCAAGGCCGCCCTGGTCAAATGTCCCAAGTGTGACTACACGTGGTGCAATCAGCTTCCTGCTTCCGTCATGAAGTTAAAGAAAGTAAGTCATCTGTACACAAGGCGAGTTTTGGTGGGGGGAGGGGGGGGGCTAAGGGTGGGGGTGGGGGCCAGCGTTTCCGTTCTGCTAGAGATGTTAGTGGTGTTGATGTATTTATTAATTATTTTTTTTGGTGTTGACGTTAAAATTGCTGGTCACCGTAATGATGGTGGGGGTGGTATTGATGCTGTTGGTGGTGGTGCAGGTGACTGTGTCGTGGGTTTTGTTGTTTCTGGTGGTGATGGAGTTGGCGTTCGATAGGGATTATCCCTGGGGAAAGTCGGAGGATCGTCCCATGGGGGGGGGGGGGGTACCCCATAGGGTCATATAATTATTTAGGCACACGGTGTTGTAAGATGTACGTAACCTGATGTGGCCGCTCGAGAAATTTACACTATCGGAACCAAGTGCTTAAAGCTGTTGTCTCAAGCAAAGTATTGTTAAATGTTAACTAGAAAAAAATAATCTTTTCAAGAAAACGGCACTTGACCGTCGAGACTTGACCGTCGAAACTTTCCCGTCGAGACAAAGAGATGTTTAATGTAGCCCCAATAAAATCACGCCATTGGGGGGGTGGTGGTGGAGGGGGCACTAAATGAACAGGACATGCTCCCTAGAAGGACTACACAGAACAAGGCATGTGTATGCTCGAACTAGAAAGACGGGACAATAAAGTTGAACGTTTCGGCTAAGATCTTTCCTCAGTAGACAGGAGAGATGAAGAAACAAAAAGAAACAGAAATTAGTTTGTTGTTTTTTGTTTAATGTAAGTGTTCGCCATTAATGTTATTGCCGGAAGTTTTTTTTTTTTTTTTTTTTTTTTCAAAAAACCAAGATTACACACACCCTTGTCCTGCTGTGTGCTATTCACAAAGCTTGGACGCAGTCCTTCTTTTATTATCCTTAATATTCCTTAGAGCAGTCAATATCGTCACCAAAAAGAGAAAAGAACAAAATTAACAAGGAACTTAATTTGTGTTTCACCAGGTCGACTTTATATGGATCAACCGGGATCAGCGCCATTTTGAGTGGTTTGTGTCCTTGCTGTCTCGGCTGGAGAAAGAGCAAGAGGTCGAAGGAGGCATTGGTGAGACAATCTTCTTAGTATAGTGTGGTGCCGTTAGATGTGTGTGTGTGTGTGAGTCTTATGGCTCATAAGCTGGGGCGTCCAGTGTTGATTGTTTTCCCAATTTGTCAGTTAGTTCCCTGGTCGGTATCAAATTTATTCTTATTTTTAAATTACACATTACTATTTTATAACATAATCCGTACCGTATAATGAAACAAACAAAAATGGGAATACATTTTTTCCGGATTTCTTTTCTCGTGTCTTTTTTTTTCCTTTCTAGGTCATATATTGGATATGCATATGTACATGACGTCAGCTGTACCCAAGACAGACATGAAAGGCCTTGGCCTCCAGTTGGCCCTTGACCTTGTGCACGAAAACGAAAGGACGGATCTAATAACAGGGCTGCAGACACGCACACAGGCTGGTCGCCCGGACTTCGATGTGGTGAGTGGAGTGATAGCCGGACAATTGTCGCGTGAGGTTGCCAGCCAGACTATGATCCCAAAATGGTGCTAGTGAGAAATTAATCCCGAGAGGTCATACAATAATTCCAAGTAGTTTAAATAATATCGTCATTGTGTTTGCACATTTTCGTAAACTTATTTAAATGCATTTATTGATAAATTATCTTAGTAAGTTAGGTAACCGTTGAAGTCAGGTGCCGATGTTAAAAAATTTCACTGTTATTTAATCCTTTAAGATTGTTGCTTTTTTTCAATTATTTCAATCGGACTCGTTGCCCTTGTCATATTTTTTATAACATAATAACAAGGACACATTTTCGCGGTGTTTCCTTGCCTCCATACAAATGACGTCATTAACTATAAATACAAAATTTAATTAAAGGGGACAGGCGGATAAAGGAATAGCGATATAGAGTGAGAAGGAGAGAGAAAGAATAACGGTGAGAATGGGAGAAGGAAAGGCGCACGGGAGGTTAATCATTAAGAGGTCAGCTAACAACATTAAGTTAACAATTAATGTATGCTTGTTACAGCTAAAAATAACCCCCCACATACTCTCTCACCCACAGTTGTTCCGCAAGATCAGCAACAGCGCCAAAGGGCGGGTAACTGTGTTCTTCTGCGGCTCGCCAATGCTGGGGAAGAGATTAAAGCAAATCAGCCACAAGTTTGGTTTCGCCTTTCGTCATGAATATTTCTAAACATTTTATTTATTTATTTATTTTTTCCTTATTTAAAGAAAGAAAGAATGATAGAAAAGAAAGAGTGAGAGATGGACAGAAAATGAAAAAAATATAAAAATTGAGTGAATGAGGGGTGTAAGAAAAGAGAGAGAGAGAGAGAGAGAGAGAGAGAGAGAGAGAGAGAGAAAGAGAGAGATGGTCATACGATGAAGTATAAAAAGTAGCCTTGATCTTGATAATAAAGTCACAATGTACAGATAGGGAAGGGGAGGAAAGCGTGAATAAGATTAAAAGGTTAATAATTTTTGTATCAGTTATCTTTCCTAAATGAGGACTGTTAACTGTGTGGAGGGTGTTGTAGTGGAGAGAGGGGAATATTACACCATTCACACAGTAAATGGTTTTATTTTAATGTAAGTTAACTTTCATGTAGAAAAATGTATTTGATGTGCAATGTTTGTGTTTTATTCGCTTTGAAATATTTCATAGAAAATAGTGATTTTTTTAAATTATTTTTTTCTTTAAATTATATAAATGCTGAATGGAAGTAGAGCGAACGATTTCGTAGTTTGTGAATGAAACATTGGACTTTGTGCGTAAAAATGGCGGCCGCTGTAAGTGAAATGTTGGATTTTGTGATTGAAATCGTGCACGTTGTGATTGAAATGTTGGACGTTGTGATTGAAATCTTGCACGTTGTAAGTGAAATGTTTGACGTTGTGATTGAAAATGCTGGGTGTTGTTAAATGTTCATGTAAATTATAATAATCAACATTACTCTCAAGTCTTTCTATGAAAATGTTTCGTGATAGTCAACACACACAAAACAACAAAAAAATCCTTCCCGGAGAACTCAATATTTTAATTTTTTTGGTTTTTTTTTTTTAATTATTATGGCATGACCTTTTGCCCATTTGATATTGTTGTTGTTGTTTTTTACGTGGCATTAAGGCCTAGATTTCTTTACAGATAAAATATGACATTTAGGCCTAAGGTCGATATCAAATTAATTTTTTTTTTTTAATTGCTCAAATTAAAAAATGGTATTATAATATTTATGCATATAGTTTTAATCCAGCTTTTGTATTCATTATGAAAGAACTCAACTTTATAAAATCAAGGTCTTCTCAATGCAATTTTATTTTTATTTTTTTTTATCTCCCTTGGCATTATCTGCTCTTTTAATAGGAACTCAATTTTTATTTTATTTTTATTTTATTTTGTTTTAAATTAATTGCAAACCTACTTGATCCTAAAAAAATATTAAAACTAATTAACATATTAAAAAAATGTTTTAACATTTTAAAAATGCTTCTCCGTGCTGACTTTGTACAAAATTTCTGCAATTTAAAAAACGCGCGGAAAGCTCTTGGAAATAAAACTAAAAGAAGTTAGTTCAAAGCGAAGACCAGTAACGGCGGACTAAGAAATACATCGGCAGAGCTGACGAGCTCTCAATGGAAGGAAGGAGCCATGTCTTTATTTAGCTCATTGTTATTATGTTTTATAACATGGTGTGTTTGTACGTGTTTGACGATGAAATAAATTAATACAACATGAGCTCAACTTAACACAAATGCCATGTACATCGTGTGTGTGTGTGTATATATGTATATATATATATATATATATATATATATATATATATTTTATATATTTTTTTTTTTATATTGTATATATATTTTTTTGTGTGTATTTGTGTGTGTGGGTTTGTGTGTGTGTGTGTGTGTGTGTGTTTGTGTGTTTGTGTGTTTATATGTATATATATATATATATATATATATATATATATATATATTTTTTATTTATTTTTATTTATTGTGTATATATGTTTTTGTGTGTGGTTGAGTTTGTGGGTTTGTGTGTGTGTGTGTGTGTGTGTGTGTGTGTGTGGCAGGCGTTGTTTACTATGACGTATTTATTATGCCGCCCATGTTCCTATGCGTACTTAAATGCTACAGACTTCAATTGAACTGTTATTGTATGGCCATATATCTTCATTAATCAGTTTCGTATTTTATTTATTTCCTTAAAAAGTGTGGGGGGAGGGGGTGGGGGGAATGTAGTTGCAGTTTAGTGTGGGGACACACACATTAATGTGGGGACAAAGACGTTCATGTGAAACTGCTTCGTTTTTTTTTTAGCTTTTTAATTTAATTGTATTTTTTTATTCCTGCATTATTTTTATTCCTCTGAAACAGACAACGCCTTTCTCTTACACAATTAAACATGAAACAATTCCTAAATTACATAATAACACATTTAAACATGACACCATTCCTAAAACACATAAAACATGTATACATGACACCATTCCTAAAACACATAATAAAACATGTATCCATGACACCATTCCTAAAACACATAACACATTTAAACATGACACCATTCCTAAAACACATAATAAAACATTTATCCATGACACCATTCCTAAAACACATAACACATTTAAACATGACACCATTCCTAAAACACATAACAAAACATTTATCCATGACACCATTCCTAAAACACATAACACATTTAAACATGACACCATTCCTAAAACACATAATAAAACATCTAAACATGACACCATTCCTAAAACACATAATAAAACATTTAAACATGACACCATTCCTTAAACTCATAAAACATCTCTTGACTTTTAATCTTGACTAAAATTTAATTAAGATCTCACGTTGTCTACTTCTATATCTATCAATGTATCTCTTCTTCTCTTTATTTCTCTCTCCCTTTTTTTCTCTCTCCATCCCTTTCTTTTTCTCCCCATCTCTATTTTTTTTCTTTCTCCTTCTCTTTCTCCCTTCCCGTTTTCTTTCTCCCTCTCTGTTCCCCCCCTCCAAAATTTTCTCCTCACTCCTTTTCGCCTCCCTCATTTTCTCTCTCCCTCTCTTTCCATCTAAATCTCTTTTCTATCTCCCTCTTCTTCTCCCTCCTCTTTCTCTCTTCCCATTTTTCTCTCACCCTCTCTTTCTCCCTCCCTAATCGTCTCTCCATCCCTATCTCCCTCTTTTTCTCCCTCCTTCTCTTTCTTTTTTGTCCTCCTTACTTTTTATCAACACCCCCTTCATATTATTTCATGTGTACGCTCTTCTCGCCATATCTATGTCAGATAATCATACAACGATCAAAAACAATAATACTGTTTATAAATATGAGAATAACATGATGTACATGATCATGCTAATAATCATTAGCTAAAGTAGGCATTTCTTGAATGTGATAATCTTAGGCAACTTTATGCTCCGTGAACACATTTTATAATGTTTCATTGATGAATAGATACGATTATATTTAATGATTATTGATTTCCTCATTGCTCTGACTTTACTTTATAATCATTGCTATAATCCCACACGAGGAAGTCAACAGCCCTGACAAAGGGCGCGAACATTAGATGCACCTTGTTAGTGCCCTTGTCAATTTGACTTGGGAATGTTTGTTACATTCTGGCTAGGTTCTCTTAGTGACGACACGTTACTTGGCAACCAATATCACGTGATGTATAAATAAATGAGAACTCCCACGGCCTTCAATGATAATTCTAATAAACTGATGCGAAATGTCTTGTTGTCTTGGTGTCTTGTTGACTTGATGTCTTGTTGTCTCACTGTCTTGTTGTCTTGCTGTCCTTTGTTTCTCCAGTTTTTATTATGTACTTGTATTGACTATTATAAAAGAGGTAAGTTAAGTATTAATTTCACTTGACAAGCCTCTTTTTAGGGGAAGGGGGGCGGCAGGCGTTGCTTAATAAATGTAAACGACTAGTTCACAATCCAACCAACAGCCACATATTCAACTAGGACACAATCCAACACTCAGGCACACAATCAACTAGGACACAATCCAACCTTCAGTCACACAATCAACCAAAACACAATCCAACCTTCAGGCACACAATCAACTAGGACACAATGCAACCTTCAGCCACACAATCAACTAGGACACAATCCAACCTTCAGCCACACAATCAACTAAAACACAATCCAACCTATTTAACAACACCTACAGCTAGGAAACAATCTCCCACCTTTAATCTCGCTAACAAATAGGACAAAATCCACCACTATTTAACCACCCAAACTACTAGGACGCAGTCCACCACATTTTAACCACCCAAACTACTAGGACACAATCAACCACATTTAACCACCCAAACTACTAGGACACAGTCCACCACATTTAACCACCCAAACTACTAGGACACAGTCCACCACATTTAACCACCCAAACTACTAGGACACAGTCCACCACATTTTAACCACCCAAACTACTAGGACACAATCCACCACATTTTAACCACCCAAACTACTATGACACAACCAACCACATTTAACCACCAAAACTACTAGGACACAGTCCACCACATTTAACCACCCAAACTACTAGGACACAGTCCACCACATTTAACCACCCAAACTACTAGGACACAGTCCACCACATTTAACCACCCAAACTACTAGGACACAGTCCACCACATTTAACCACCCAAACTTTCTAGGACACAGTCAACCACATTTAACCACCCAAACTACTAGGACACAGTCCACCACATTTAACCACCCAAACTTTCTAGGACACAGTCAACCACATTTAACCACCCAAACTACTAGGACACAGTCCACCACATTTAACCAACCAAACTACTAGGACACAGTCCACCACATTTAACGACCCAAACTACTAGGACACAATCCATCATATTTAACCACCCAAACTACTAGACCACAGTCCACCACATTTAACCACCCAAACTACTAGGTCCCAATCCACCACATTTAACCACCCAAACTACTAGGACACAGTCCACCACATTTAACAACCAAAACTACTAGGATACAATCCATCACATTTAACCTCCCAAACTACTAGGACACAATCCACCACATTTAACCACCCAAACTACTAGGACACAATCCATCACATTTAACCACTCAAACTACTAGGACACAATCCACTACATTTTACCACCCAAATTACTAAGCCACAGTCCACCACATTTAACCACCCAAAAT